AGCCATGCGACACCCCAACGAGCTTCTCTAATTCCCTGGTGGTGATTCGCCTGTCCTCGTCTAGGTGTCGCTTCATGCTGGCAATGTTCTCTGGAGTAACAATGAAATTTGGACCACCTTCACGGGGATCGTCGTCGAGGCTGAAGGAGCCAGATCGAAAGCTCGCAAACCACTCGTAGACAGTGCTTTTGGATGGAGCTTGGTCCACAAGTGCCTTTTGAAGGGTTTTGAAACACTGTGCCGCCAAATTTCCCAACCGAAACTGCACCAAAATTGCAACGCGTTTGTCACGGTTCGTCAAGGGTGGCAAGACCCTCTGACTCGTTTCACTTCTCGCGCGCTTGCAAGTCTCCATTTTAACGCAGGGATCCTAAATTAGAAGGGAAAACTATTAAGATATGTAAGAATACACAGTGAAAAAATCGTGGGGATCGGACAATAAGAAGTCACTTTTTCCGGGAACTCTTTGACCAGCCCTCGTAAAATAATAAACTCAAGACACTCAGCATACAGAGTTAATGCAATCCCTTGTAGATGTAGTAAACTTACTCCAAATCCCTGGGAAAGGTTCTTTGCTAAGATGAATGAAAAGTTGGAAGAGAGAAGATAAGAGTTCAAGACCTGGAATAGGGAAAAAGGTAGGCAACTGGAGGTCCATGATTGCCTTTGAATGAAAAGGAAGACAACCTAAAGAGGGAAAGGGATGGAACTGTATCAAATCAACAGATTCTGTTCTTTATTTCATCTAAAGTGATTTCACTGGTGGCCAAAAAAGGTCCTAAACTTCAAAATGCTGAGGCTCAGGCTACAATGCCTTAGATTAAGTGCTGTTTGACAATCACATCATTAAACCAAATCTATAGAAATATTAAATGGTCACATATGATTCAACTCACTGAGAATGACATCACGTGCAAATAGGCAGCATGTAGTTGGAAAGTAGCAGCAAGACTACCTCATTCTCGATTGAAAATAGTTCAATCTCAGTTTTTCTTGTTTTTCTTTGAAAACTTTTGGCGATGCAATAATGCCTAGCTATTCAAAGGAGGATCAGAGTAATATCAAGATGCTGAGGCTGGAAATATATTGGGGAATGAAGAGATGGCTGAAAGAATTTCCCAAGAAGCAATGGTCTTAGGGGAGATTGAAAAAGATCATTAATAATGTGGATCCTGTAATTGGAAGGCAGGCAATGGAAGACCAAGAAATCATAGGAATGAAGAGAACATTCAGAAGGCCAAAGAGAGAGTCATGAAGCCTGACTAATGTCAGTCACAAAGAGAAATTGCTAAGGAAACTAATTTCTCAAACAAGTGTCTGAAGAATAACAGAAGGACTTGAAATTGCCTGTTTTCAAGAGCTTCATGATGCAAAGGTTGGAGAACCATGACAAGTGGCTGATTCAGGGGCAATGTTTGCTCCAGAGATTTCTAGATGAGGGGGTCCACCAGATGAATCTAGCTCAGTGACAAAATTATATTCACTGTGATGATACATGTCAACATCCAGAATATCCATGTTTATGGATGTGGCAAACACTGCAATATGAGGAAAGCAAGCACAGAGAGGCTCTTGGTTGGCCATAGGCATTTCTCAGACAGGCCCATAGTGTCTATAGCATTCTCTGCGCTGGGCCAAACTGAGGTTGTCTTCATTGATCATGGCATGAAGTTCTCAACAGTGAGTACTGTGGCAACACCATCCTCAAAGACAACTTTCTTACTCTAATGACAGCAGAGTGTGGAAACAACAGTAGCCTCATGGGCCACTATTTGTCCACAGGTCATGAGTAGGGCACCAGGACTCTAAACGATTGACAACACTACAGTATGGGTCAAAAGTATTGCAACACAAGTGGATTACGCTCATGGTTTGTTGCCCTTAATTTGTGTTTCCTACAGTCATTTAAATAACTTAGGAATACTCCGACAAACCAGTTAGCATGGTGTAGCCTATGCAAGTAGCATGCATCCACTGCGTAGCTTATGTACAAAGCAGCTTTTGTTTGGTATCAACATCTAACAATATGAAGGTCTGCGAGCTGCCGTTGGAGGTCCGGGCTAAAGCCGTTGGAATGGTTGAGGCAGGAAAGTCCCAGAGGGAGGTAGCTAGGATTCTTGGAGTTCACCCAGCAAGTGTGAATCGTTGCACCTTTGCGGTGTTCCGACCTCTTTCGGAGGTTAGTTTCCGAGCGAGTCCCGCAGGTTTTCAGGAAAGTTGGAGACGTTTTTACTAATAAACGTTCTCAGACCCATTCTCTCCCTACAGGTCGGCCAAACTGGCCTCCAGGTTGAAGAATTTGGGCAAGGAAGGGTCCTTCAGTACAGTTCAACGCTATCTTAAAAATGGTCTTGGTTCCAAGGCCTACAAGAGGCCCAAGAAACCCCTCCTCACGGACATCATGAAGGAGAAGCGCCTGAAATTTGCCCTGGAACACAAGGACTGGACTTCTGAAGACTGGACACGTGTGGTTTGGTCAGATGAGTCAGTGTTTCAGCTTTTCCCACCATCCAACCCACAGTGTGACAGGATCTGGAGCAGAAACAGTGCCTCTGTCCCTTCCGTCTTCACAGTCAAGCACCCACTGAAGATCATGGTGTGGGGAATGTTCTCTCATCAGGCGGTCTCAGAGCTCCACGTGATCCCGCCAAAACAGTCCGTCAACACAACTTATTATCTGGAGAACATCCTCCAAAAGTCCTGCCTTGATGCCCTTAACAGGACGGCAAGGGGAGGATCGATTTTGGAGCGTCGCATGGTTGAGAAAAGGTCAGAGGCCATCTTCATGCATGACAATGCCCCTTGTCATGCCTCCAAAGCCACCACTTCCTGGTGTCAAAAAAACCTGCCAGCATTCTGGGGTAAGGACAAGTGGCCAGGCAACAGCCCTGACATAAATCCCATAGAAAATCTCTGGCAGATTCTCAAGGAGGAGGTCAAGAAGATGAAGCATGCCACAAGCCGTGAGCAGCTTATTCAAGAAGTGAAAAATGCATGGGCCAACTTGGACCCAGGCATTCTCAAAAACCTAGCAAGCAGTATGCCTCAGCGAATGCAGATGGTAATCAATATGAAAGGAGATTACATTGGGAAATGAGACATGTTCATAGCACTCTTTGGAAGAGAATAAAATTAATTTTTCCTTTGTTGCAATACTTTTGACCCATACTGTACAATGAAAGGAGATTACATTGGGAAATGAGACATGTTCATAGCACTCTTTGGAAGAGAATAAAATTAATTTTTCCTTTGTTGCAATACTTTTGACCCATACTGTAGTGTTGTCAGAATCTTGGAATCATTAGTCCACTTATGTGAACATTGGAATAAAGAGTACAGTATATATTTTCTTCCGTTTCAGAATTCTTGAAAATGTTCACAGTACCTCTTATTTCACTTATTTCTCTTGCATAAAAATTGAATCTCACATAATCTTCATGTGAAGTGCTTTTGTGTGAAATGTCTCAAAAAGAGAAGGGCCAGTTTATTTCTGAAATCTCCAATAATGTACAGGCTTCCATGTATTTCTTCATATGACAGAGATGAATATGGAATATTTCTGAATATTTCTAAGTTAACAAAGTTTCACTCAATTCTACAACTGGAATGAGGTTTCAAAATGTAGTTTTATTTAAACTTGATAGAAATCTTTCTCATGTGTATGAGACCTCATGTGCAGGAAATCTGGAGGCTCACAAAGTAACAGATGGGATTACTAATTTAAAAGAATAAACTGGCACTCTTGTTGGAGTTACTGGGTGTTGCACATAGATAGCCCCCCTTCACAGCCTAAACTATTGGAGCTAGGAATAAAGCTCATGTATCACAAGAAAGAGCATTATTTTCGAATCTAAATATGTACCTCTCATAATTTTATGCACCCTGGCTTTGTCTCTGAGAGCTTTAGTACGAGCGGGGTAAGATGAAAAGAGTCGCTAAAAGAGTTTGGTTTCATCTTCCATGTCCTTCAACACCCTAGTGATGTCGCTTTGCAGGGCTTCCTGGGAGAATCCATGCTGCTTGCCCTCCATGTGTATGAGCCTCAACTTGGTCTTTCAATGTTCTCAGCCACATTCAGATCAGGAGAGTTTCTTGGCCATTCTGCATTTCCCCAAAAAAATCAATTCCCAAGTCTTTCAGCAATTGCCGTGTGATCAAAGCTTTGAAAAACAAGGCTTTATCTGACAGAAGCTGAATGGTTAATCTTTTTCAAAATCCATGAACGGGTAACGAATTCAGCTCTGGCATAATGAGCTCGAAGTGTAATAACTTGAATGGGATCAATGAATTTAAGTTTTTCACAATCATATGACATCAGGAAAAAACAAAATTGGGTGGAATAGATTCAAAATTGAACAAGGATTCCAAATATATCAAAAATGTTTCCCTAGCTCCTATAGTTTAGGCTGTGGAAGGGGGGCTATCTATGTGCAACACCCAGTATATTGTACATTTAAAAGATAGTGAGTACTGTCTTCCTTATTTTTTCCCCTCCTCTTTCAGGTTATTCAAAGAAAGGGAAGAGAAACTTCGTAAAAGTGAATTCTGGAAGAATTTCAGGCAGGATTTTCTACTTTGTCTGAATGTGCTAGGGTGGACAGGAAGACAAGTGGACCTTGTTTCTTATGGAATTGGATTCTTAAGTAAGGAACATTGTGTGCTGGATCAGCTTGCCCTTGCATGTATCCTCCAGGAAGAACTAAAAGGGAGTCACTGGTCATTTGACCCAGCATACACATCACAGTGTCTCAAGATTCTTCAGGATCTTCACATATCTGTGATATCAGAAAATGAGCAATGCAAGCGTTTGGCAGAAAATCCCTCTGTTTTCTTTCTTCCTCATGTTGATGCTGCATTGACAAATAATCTTCTTTGGAAGAATTGGACACCTCAGAATCTTGAGAATTTAGTTGTTGTTGCCACCAGTTTCTCTACTTTGACTAGGAGGATCCCTGATAGAATCTTAGAGAGAGATCTGTGGTTTATCAAACAGGCATCAAGCATCTGTGTGGAAGTCCCTATAAAGTTATCAGAGAGGAAAAGTGAAGAATACTTCTTGGCTTTCAATGACATCTCAGTCCACAGTTTCCCCCATCATCATATAAGCTCTGTGTCCATTGTACCTCATCCAGAGCCAGTGTATATGAGGGAACCAATATGTGGAGATGCTTGAATTGATAAAGACATGTCTCGACAAGTGAGACTGTATAGAGCTCTAACTGGTGAAATTAAGAGGAGGACCCCTGATGGGAAGCTCCATAGTAGCCCTGTCTACACATACATCAAGGAGCAATTTTGTAGACATAAGGTTGTTGAGAAATTCCTGCCTTTCCTGCTTTTAGCTTTGATTCCATTTTATTCTTGTTGAAGGTTTATTTTTATTGTTTATTAATCCAGGTGACGGATGAGGTAGCATGCAAGGCCAAGGATCAAATGCTGTTTTTGGCCTCAACCTACCATTGCTACCTGAACTCAACAATGAGGTATATTGAGATTCATGAGACCTACCATGCCAAGGGAGAGAGGAGTGTGAGAGAAACAGCAAATCTTCTTGGCTTCAAGTTGCCTCATGATTGTGTTTGAGGCTGACTGCGATGAGTATAAACTTTCCAGACATATGCTGGATCTGTGCTCTTCTTGTCCATTTGTTTCTTCCTAACATATGTCCCTATGAGAAACCCAACTGTAGTCAGGGGACATTTAGGCTTCCTGGGATGTCTGAATGTCATGTTCTGATGGGATGCACAGATATTAGTCTCATGACTCCATTGGAATTGATTGGATTTGGTTCTACAAAAGAGGTATTTAAAGCATTATGGAAAGGACACTCAGTCGCCATATCAAAATTACGTGAACCAAAATTCCAATGGGATTTCCATCATGGAGCTGAAATCCTTGTAGCACTAAGTGGGAGTAGATTTGTTGTCCAAGCAGTTGGCCTCTGTTTGGATCAAGGATTTTTGGTGACCCAGTACCATAAGAATGGTAATGCCAATACTTTCTTCATGAATGCCACCTTCAATATGCCACCTGACCCTCTGAAGTACTGTATTAATTATGTAGAGTTGCTATCATTTGTTCACAAGAAGGGTATGATGATTTGTGATTCAAGTGAACTGAAGAAAGTCTTGGATCAACTTTTGGTTACTGATGATGAAAAGTTGATTTTAAATGATGCTGATGCAGTGGTAGAAGTGAGAAAAGAGGGAGTAGTGTGTGGGCATAGGGAATTGACAGGTTCGTTTGTTGCACCTGAGCAGCTCTGGCCTTTTCAGTCTATTTCTTACCAGGAAGACCTCATGCCACCTTATGATGAAAAAAGTGACATCTGGAAGATTCCTGCAGTGTGTGAGTTTTTTCTCTCTCACCTTGAAGATGCAGGTTTGAGGAGTATCTTGAAATTCCATTTGCATGATGTGCACAGTCGTTGTCAGCGACTGCAGCCAAGTTCTCGTCCTTCTGCAGATGAGGTCCTCTTTGTGTATAAGCATGTGTTGGCTACTGTGCAACACCAATACAGAGAAGAGCTATAAAGAACACTTCTCCTCACAAATGCTTTGAGGACCAGGATGCATGCATACTGCTAGCTTTTCATAGAATTGCTGTGTATATACATGGTTTTCAGTGAATGGCAGTCACTAGAATGTAGAATGTTTGTCCAGAAATGCAATTTTTAACTGTGTGACTGTTTAGGGCTTTCAAGATGGTGTAAATGAGAAAGCTTTCTAATTGGGGGGTTATGAATTCATGATTCAGTTATGGTATAACAGGCAGTTGTGCAATAAAAGTTATACTTTTAGACTATCTCCAATTGATAAAATTGACTATTAACCAAGCTATTAATATTTGTTGATTTCTGATCTTCTACCATTTATGTAGCATAACCCATGTACAGGCTTCAAGTGAAGGTGTGGCCATCCTACAGGTGCTTCATGACTATCCATAAGATGTAGTAATTTAGAAACATGTCATACAACCACAAAATTGCAGCAAATCTCCCTTATAGAGAGACATATTAAGATTATCAGCTGATATTGTACTACACTATAAAAGGTGTGTAAAAATGTGATGGACAAGATGAGGTTTGTTGGGCTGTGGCTGATCTGTGGCCACATCTTTATGAAGAGAAGAGATTGAAATATAAGTGTAGATTTTAAAAATATTATGAATGTAAATCTAACCATGGTGAAACTGCACTATTAGAGCTCATATGAGACATAATATTCCCACTGAGAAGAAATGTCATTCCCCAAAAGGAAAATTATGGAATGTTGTTTTTTTAACACTCTATACTTGAACCAGATATATAATCATATATGCTGAAGCCTGCCCCTCAAGCCCGGTAGTTCATGTATGCAAAACATACATGTTGCTTTGGCATGTTTTAACTCTTCAAGCGCATTTGACTATGATGTCTATTTGTTGCTCATGTTGTCTTGTAGAACTGCAAACATATTGCCACTGCCAGGGATGATTGGCCATTTAAAATCACTGGTTTGAAGGGTTAATGCATGACTTGCCCTCACAACCAGTGGCATAGGGAAGGGGGGGATTTTGGTGGTTAGAACCCATCCACCCTTCCTCCACCCTGGGCTTTTTGGTCAGTGACTGACAGACATATTTCAGCCTTCCCTGGGAATTCCAGTTGTAACTGTACCCCTTTGAGGAAAGTCTGATGTTCATCCACAAACCCAAGATGCCAGACCACGATTCCTTCAAACATGTAAATTCTGGGTGATGGAGCTAACCATAGGGTTTGGTTGTCTACCTGGCCTCAACCTACCTGGCCCTTGCTGATTGCCTGCCTATGCCACTGCTCACATGGATTTAACCTTTAACTTTTAACCTACTTTAGCCCTATCACTGTGACCTGGGGTCCACTCAGACCTGTCATTGTAATGTAGGGTATATCCATTTAGAACTGGTTTTTCAGAATGCATTGATATTGTCTTTGAAACATAATAGCATGAGCTGTCACTGAGAATTATGACCTGGTAAAATATTTTTTTGCAGAATAACATAAAAACAGGGTCTGCCCTTGGGCCTTATTGATGAGGGTAGCCATGTGCTTGCATATGCATCAATTCATGTAATATGCTCAGCGCCAAAAAAAAGTCACACCAAGAAGGAGTTGAGCGATCTTGATGAAATATGGTAATCATGCTCATATTAGTGCATCATGAAATTGATGCTATTTTCCAGGTAGTAGGTTTAATATTCACAGAGAAAACTTGTCAAACATCCCAATTTAAATGGGGTCGGAAGGGTGGTACTCATCGTCCACAAAGAACACCTAGAAGGAGTTTATTAATGAAATGTGAAACAGGAACTTCTAGTGATGTTTAGAACATTGGAGCAAAGTTTAAAGGTAATAGGATGAAGCGATGCAGGGAAAACATGCTGAGTTAGCTGAACGCCCTGAGGGATGGGGTAAAGGGCGACTGCACTGATCAGGCCAGTTTCCTTTCCTGTTTCCTTCCATCCACTCAGCTTTGCTTCAATTGTTTATATTTAGTCTTTAAACCCATGCCAGGACGATGTCCACAGAGGCAGTTTCGCCAACTTCACCAGTTCTATTGAGGTCGGTTAGTTGTCATGATGGAGGTAGGCCATAGCATGCATCAGGTTGCACATAGGCTAAGTGTAAGAGTGACTAATGAGCAGCGTTGGTGGACTCGGTTTCAGAATGGGGCAAACCACGAACGGCAACGAGGATCAGGCCGCCCTTGCATCCTGACACCCAGGGATGACTGGTATTTGAGGCTGTAGATTCTCCGAGACCAAATTGCTTCTCCCCGTGTTCACGGAAGGTACTGGTGGTGGGGACAGGTAGTCAGACAGGTCATTTAGATCATAGTCCCAGCTGGATTGCATGCTGGTACACAGTCCTCAAGGAAGTCCTTTGGCCCGTCCCCAGCCACCATCACGCCAACTAACCGACCTCGATTGAACTGGTGAAGTTAGTGAAACTGCATTTGTGAATATCGTCCTGGCATTGATTTAAAGACTAAAAATAAACTATCGAAGCAAAGCAGAGTGGATGGAGGGAAGCAGAAAAGGAAACTGACCTGATCAGTGCAATAGCTCTATTCCCTTTCCCTTGTGGTGTTTGGCTAGCTCGGCAGGTTTTCCCTGCATTGCTTCATCCTATTACCTTTAAACTTTGCTCCAATGTTCTAAACATCACTAGAAGTTCCTGTTTCACATTTCATTAATAAACTCTTTCTAGATGTTCTTTGTGGACGATAAGTATGACCATTCTGACCCCATTTAAATTGGGATGTTTGGCAAGTTTTCTCAGCGAATATTTAACCTATGACCTTGAAACTAGCATCAATTACATGACACACTAATATGAGTATGATTACCAAATTTCATCAAGATCACTCAACTCCTTCTTGGTGTGACTTTTTTTTGGGCAATGAGTATATATAAATGTATTACATGAATCAATTTATCCTCTATCTGTGCCATATATGGCCCAGATAAATGGATATAACTGTCATACATGATGTATGGGTGGTAGAATGTTTCCATGTGTGTGTCAAGAATTCTAATGATGACCATGTCCTTGGAAGCACTCCAAGAACCACTTAAGGATGTGGGTGAATATGGTCAACAACAGGCCTTTTAGTGACAACAGTAGGACTACCCAAGCTCTATTGGAATTGTAGCTGCACAGCCTGTGGGCCAGACTTGAGTTCCTAAAAATCTCTATATAATAAAAGTCTATGCAGTATAATAAACCAAACTGGGTGTCCAAATACTGGATGGGCCAAAAAATCTTTGGTTATCTTTAACGCTGCACAGTGTGGTTTTTCGAGAGTTTGAAAATATTGCAATAGCTTTTCTATATACAGGGTGTTTGTATTTAAACGCAACATAGGGAATATATTGCCGCCTGTAGGTGGAGGTCAAGGAACACTATAAGGCCCACCGGGTTGCATATTAGCAAGGATACTACACTCCAGGGATAGGCTTCATCCTTCCAGATGTGGAACCCCGTGAGCTATATGGCACATCCTGAACTCCACAAACAGGCAGCAAAAACTTCCTTATGTTGCGTTTAAATACAAACACACTGTAGAACATTTATCTAGCTTTCCACTGCTGTCAAAAGATTTAGGCCCGATTGCACAGGTCTCGTTTAGTTAACAGTCCTTTAAGGAGAAAACAGACCGTTTGTTAAAAGCCTCTTTATCTTGGACTGCGCAAACCTCCTTTAACCTTCCGCAAGCTAACGGTCCTTTAACTAAAGGGGCTTTTAGAGAGAGGTGTGGAAAGGCATGTCTTGGCATCGCTATGGATACTGCTCTAGCATATTTCTTCGTTTAAAGGCCTAATTTCACGGGAAATGAGTCAATACCACGTGGAGTGAACACAGATGGGTGAAGTTGATTTAGCGCAAATGGGCTGAAGTGGTAAAACATGCGTCTTGGCAGAAAAGCGAAGTGAGGACATTTTCATCTTCCCAAGTTATTACTTGCTTCCTGACGGAAAACAAATCCTGGAGAACTAGCTCAGTTATGGATCAGTCATATGGTCAGTCACTGAGCACCATGACACTGAGGTTACCTCGCTTCGCTATTTCATAGTCTTCCAACTTTTTCAGCAAGCAAAAGCTGTCATGTCGATGACTTGCATAATCAGGGGAGGGGATGGGAGGAAAGTAAAGTCTGCAGGATGCGAGATGCGGCATTCCTCAGGATCGGCCCACAAACTTGTCTACAATGCTATGAGAAGAAGCTTTCTCGTTTTGTTCAACTATTGATCCATCAAATGCAAGTGCTGGAAGGTAACTTTTTGGTGGTGACTGGCACCCAACCCAGACTCCATGCTGCACGTGAGCAATGAGTCAAATTCTCATGTTTCAATAGCAACTGTGGACAGACGAAATGAAAAGAGAATAGAAAAAGGGACAAACCAGTCATAATTTCTGCCATTTTTCCATTGGTCACTTTTGAAATGGCAGGTAAAATTCAGGGTTGGTATCTTGTTTGCACCCAGACATACATCTTCAAGTTCGATCATCTCACTTGAAGCCTTCTTCTTTATAAGATTCATTCCGCAGGCCAACCAGTTCAGTCATGACTGTCTCTGCGCTGGCTTCATCTAGTTTTGCTTCATCTAGTTTATAAGATCATGAGTTCCAAGAAGCTTTTCCAAGAACAGAGTCCTTGGAGAACCGGAAATGTTTCAGAAACTGATAACCACTGTCGTAGAGGAAGGGATCTGTTCATTGGTTGAGGTTGTAATGCAAGAGAATTGTATGCTGCCTCCTCCTCCATTTAAAGAAACGTAGATTGTGCAGAGACAGCATGGTTTCTAGACTGCAAGTGAATGATGATCCACGGAAGAAACGCCAGTTATGAAGGAAAAAATCCCCCATTTATGAGATAAAGTAGGTCCTAGACCTCCTTTTTCTTTTTGCCAGTTAGAGAACTGTTTAACTGTCTGTTAAAGTTAGAGGAGGCTTGTGCATTCGAAGATAAAGGAGCTTTTAAGTTAGAGGTAGGTTGTGCATTTGAAAAAGGGCTCTTTAGCTTAAACCTCTTAAGTTAACGGACGTTTTTGTTAAAGAGAGGTTACGCATTCCCAAAAGAGCTCTTTAGCTTAAAGGCCCCTTTATCTCTCCTAAATGAGACATGTGCATTTGGGCCATAAAATCTATTTCATCATTCCGATGCAGTTATGCAGAGAAACAGAGGTAGCACTTGAAAGTGCACTCATCAGTACCCTGCAATATGTACTGCAAGTGATGTCCTTTATTTCGCTTGCACATTCGCAATCTTGCCTTGGTGTTGTTCACATTTGCAGCACCACCTCTTTTACTCTTTATCTAACTGCATGGAAGTTATGCCACAAATTGTTATTCTTTCTGACATTGGAAAGCTGAATAAATGTTCTATATGGAGGCATTATTGCAATTGTAGCAAACTCTTGGGGACCAGTGCTGTGGAGTGATAGAGATAATCAAAGTATTTTTTGGCCCATCCTATAAGAGGTGAGGGTGGGTTGCTGAGTGAAGGTTTTATGTGTATGCATTGCCCAAAATGAAAGCCAGTTTTTTTTGTATTGTCTCCAATTTCTTGCAAGCCTCATGTTTTTTCATAGGTGACACCTCAGATGAATGAAGATGGTTTTTGCTTGCAAGAAAAAAATTCACTCAGTGCTTCAATTGAAAAACTTTTTTACATTGAAGTACTGAAAATCACAACGAAGAAACAGGTGTTTGCTGCTCCACACCATGTTTGTCATATTGACACACTCCAATATGACTGAATAGAAGCAGCTGGCTTGCATTCAGTAATGATTTATTTCTTTTCTTTTCTGTCAGCCTAAATATTTTCCCTTTCATCTGAGATGCTCTATGCAAAGGCAAGCATAAGCTTCAATTATTGGTAAGATATTATTTTTCTGGTAATCTGATTCCATTTCATTTAACAACTGTTCTTTGAGTTAGGTGTACCACAATTAGTGGCACTCCAGATTGAAGACAAATCTGGAAGTTTCTCTATAAACCTGAAACTATGGCAGAATGGGCATTGCGATATGGGGAATCTAACAGTGGTCTTTTTTTTTAAATCGATTCAGAACTTCTAGAGATATGGTCATTGCTCTTGGATAAAAAGGAAGTAAGTTTTACAATACAGAGGACTAGGTCATGGCATGGCAACAGAGTTCACCTTTTTTTCCTGGATCTCCTCCTGCTTGGCATCTCTGATTGTTTAGAGTGCATGGTCAACAAAGTAGAGAGTGGATCGTTATCTGCTTCTGTGACCATGAAGGTAGGCAGCAGAACCATCCCTGGAACCACCCTAATGAGAACAGAGATGCTCAAGAAGTGCAGAAAGGACAAGAATCATAACATGATGGAAGATAATAGGGTTGAAGGCATCCTTCTTTCTCCGGTACCATTGTATAGATGCTGGAACAGGAAGGAAGCATTTTGGCAGGCAGAACATCCTGGAACCATCTGAATGTGAAGCGGAGATACTCAAGAAGGCACAAAGAAGGACATGAATCATGATAGTTGCTGGAAGATACTTGCTAGTATCGTGGGACAAAGGTGGAATGTGGAAGGTAGAGAAGGATAAGTGGCAAACTATGCCAGAAGCAGTGGCACCTTTCAAGGCCATGCATGTTACCCCACCTGTTCCAGATTTTCAGATCTGGTGAGGAGTGAGATTGCCACCAAAATTGGGGTTTATTGTACACTTGACTTGAAGAATGAATGTTAAAAAATGCTAAGCAATAGCAGTTGCACTCATTAAACATCAATATAATCTCTGAGACTGAGTAATCTCACTCTTTGCCTTTTAGTCAGAATGAAGCATATTGTGAGGAACAGAGCATATTGCTTGCTTATTGCAACTTTCAATATTTCAGCTGTTAATACATACTCGTATTGTAATTGAAGCACTGAAGGAATTTTTTTACACAGCAGAAAGCTTCCTAATTCATCGGAGATGTTATATGTAGTAAGTCATGGGGCTCACACTATATCAATAGGAGGTATGAATAGAAAATAAATGGCACCATTTTTTGATAAAGTATGTTTGCTACAATCATCCAATAAGAACTCACCTCACCATGTGCATTTGTACTTTTTTCCTTCTCCCAAATTGACTCATGGGAACCCCTGGATACATGCTGGTCAGCTCTTTTCTTTCTATTTTACCTGAGGTAAATTATTCCATATTTTGTGAATGCAAGAAAATTCATTCCTAAGTGTACCTGTAACTGAACCATTGAAATGAGATACCCTTGATATGCTATATTGTGGTGTGAGCTTTGCATATGTTACTTGTGTTTTTCCTTTCAGGTCATTTTCCTGTGATATAATCTTTTTTGTATTCAGGTCTCTTGATTCATTTTGTTTCCAATTGATATTTTGAATTACTAGGAAGCAGAATAATGGGTATTCCAAAGTTTTATCGCTGGGTCAGTGAGCGATACCCATGCCTCAGTGAGGTTGTTAGAGACTATCAGGTAAGCCAATTTGTATAATTCTTCATTCTATGGGGTGTTTCAAAAGTAACTGTGCAGTAGAGACATCACCTGACTTCTTCAGAAAAAATTGTCATTCAGAAAAACATTTATTGTTAGTGATTCAATACAACTAATGCATATCACAAATGCATATCAAAGGCAATGGAAGACTTCAATTTGAACTAAATTTAATAAGTGCAGCAGCAAATTACAGGAAAAAGCCAATCAGCTGTTTCAGTGTGCAGTTACTTTTGGAACACCCTGTATATCTGTAATTGCATATCTGCATGGACTATATAATTGATTTTGTTACATTTGTGTATTGTTCAAAGCAATGACTTTTACCTAATCAGAGCTTCCTCCTTTGGTTAACCCCTTTACTGGCATGGATGAGCTGGTCTCATCTCTAAAACAATTGAGGGAGTTCTCTGGAAAAGGGTGTATGTGCCCATATGCCCTTTTTCCATATCCGTCTGTCCACTGCTTTAGTTGACACATCATTGGTTAGGGTGGTCAGCAAGTAGTTAACATGTGTATTCAGCAAAGGAGAAGCAAATTTTCCTATGCTCTCACTATGTAGCAGGTCAACTGCCTGGCAATTTCAATATGGCTGCCTCCTTGAATTTTCTATTAGCACTCGCATGCTGAATGATTTTGATGGATTTATTTTGTCCTTTTAAACTGAAAGTGAAAATGAGGAAGAAACCAGACACAAGGAAAGGGAACGAAAGAGGTCCAGTCATTCAAGCCCCTGGAAGGATGTGAGAAGTTGGAGATATCCATGAAATAGTTGCAGATTCAGATGATTAATATGTTAATAATGGATCACTGCTGAGTGATTGGTGGATGAAACATGTCCTGAACATTCACATTTTCATTGCTATTTTTCAAAAAGAGTTTATTTGAAATCTGTAGATGCATTTAATGATTAATTATTATTTTTAGCTAGAAAGGTGTGATGAAGGACACGGAAAAAGTTTCATCAGCGCGGATATGGAAATGGGCGTATGTGCATAGACACTTTCTGCCTGCATCCCAGCAATGTGTGATAAAGAAATTCATTAAAACCCCAAGTTCAATTGGAAAAAGGTCTAAGATACCATTTTATTGATAATTGATAATTAAGTTTTGACCAGCTTCATATTAGCTATGGGAAGTTTTTATTGTTTATCTCGAATTGCATCTTTTGCACATGTGCCCTTTTTCTAGAGAACTCCTCAATTGTGTCTGAAAACATGCCAGTGAAGGGGTTAAAGATCAATAGCTTTCAAGTCAATGAATTCTCTCTCAATAACAAACTGATCCCTTTTCATTGTACTGGAAGTCAGCCATTTACCTGTAGAGTGAGTGGAATCATGTAGTGAAAACGGAAGCAATGCGTAATGAAGTGTGAGTTTCCATTATAATGCAAGAATTTATGTTTAACCTGCACATGGCAACATCATTTGCCAATATCATGATTTAAAACTCCTGTTTTGTTTATATTCCCAGATTCCAGAATTTGACAACTTGTATCTTGACATGAATGGTATCATTCATGTCTGTTCCCATCCTAATGATGATGATCCACATTTTCGTATCTCAGAGGAGAAGGTTGTTGCTGATATTTTCCACTATATTGAGGTAAGGAGCCCCTAGTATTAAAGACAATTATTACAGTATATTCTGTTTCCTTCAGAACTTGGTTAACCCTTTCCCAGTATTGACATTCTGGAGACTTTTGGATAACCCTGCCAAGGAAGGGGTTAATAGATATCATTTGTGGGTAAGAGATTGGAAAAGATAGGAGTTGTGCACCTCTACCCCAACATGTTGACATCCGTGTCCAATGGTACTAGGGAAAATGTCGTGGACCAAATGTTGCCAGGCAAGTTGTTGTCAATGCAAAATGCCCCAGGAAAAGTTTTATTTCTCAACAAAACACTTAACGAACTTAATTAAATGTGTCTGATAATGCTAACATTTGTATAGGAATTGTGTGTAGAGGTTAAGAAGTGGGACTGAAGGGACCCAGTGGCACTCAAGGAGAACCTTGATACAGCTAATATAATACAGCTAACATGATTTGTAGGGAAAACCACCCAGTGACTATTGGCCAGTGTAACCATTTCAGAAACCCTATAGGGTTTCGGTTTCTGAAAAGTAAGAGGCTTAGGAATGTATAGATACATTCCCATGCCTCTTACTTTTCATGGTCTTGGGTGAATCAGGGCAAACTGGAGCAATTGCATATCTTCAGGCTTTAAAATTCCATAAATCTGAGAGCAAAGAATAGATCTTGACAAAATGCAAAGCATTAATAAGTCATGTCAGAGTGTATTCTTTTCACATATCTTGGCAGTGTTGGAAGCATTTTTCTGGGGCTTGTATAGCAGAGAAAATTGAATTTGTCCCACCTGTAATGCATCTTTGCCTTAGTACACTCAGAACATTTTTGTCAAACAAATACAGGGTGGGCCAAAAAAAAAATTCCAGGGCTTTCCAGATTTGTCATTGAAAATTGAAAGCACACCTCTGTCTGCTTAATTTTCGAAATGGAATGGCATTTGTCAGTGAGAGAGTTGCACTGAAAACACTCTCTCACAAACTGCCCCAAAGCTAGTATTAAAATTTTTCTGTTACTTTCTGTACTAACTTGAAGATGGCAGTATTGACTAGGCAAGACATATTCAGGAACCTCCAAGTTTAAGCTCAAACTGACTGCATCTGTACAAATGTGACAATTTGAATTTGAAGATGTGGGACATACTCGTTTGGCCACACTCCTGCGGGACCAGGAGCACATGGCTGTACCAGTACGGTCGTACCACTCAAAGGGTTATGAGGCACAAAATTTAACTTTGCTAGATTTAGATGCAGGAGAACATCACAAACTATTCCAGATTGTCAGAAATAACTTATATTTTCTGTTTGTCTCCTGGAAATTGCTCTAGTTTGGCCTGATTCACACTCTTACATTTAACTCTTTGTTTCATCTCTTCATTCCCAAAGAATCTCTTCAAAATTCTTTGCCTAATTACTCTCACATGTCTTCATGAAGATACAAGGGACTTCTGAAGTTGATGGTGCACCCTGTACCAATAACTAAATTGGGTAAGCATCTCGGTTTCTGGCCGGTCTCCAGTTGTTGGCCAGTGAGGCTTAAATCTAGCGTAATTAGTTAATCTGACCATTTTCAAGTGTTCTATCAGCATCATGTCCCATATGAGGACCTATTACTGGTGTTTCCTGGTGTGCGCACAGGGTGTCCACTTCCTATGGGTGTCATATCAGCATGGCCAAAAACTGGGGTGTTTACACTATTTGTATTATTAGGTTGTTAGGTATGAAATGTCCGATTTTCAGTTACTTAACAAGTGATCGCGATTGTGAATACAGAAATTCCTGAAATTATATCAGAGCTAGACAGAGTTAGAAGAGGTAAGAGGTGCTTAAGAATTTGTCATTTCCAGTTAATTCTATTGTACTGTTATTTTGTTTTTGTAGGTACTTCAAAATGGTTTCTTCACAAGAAATTTGTGTTCTTTTTTTATATGAGTACTATTTTAAATTGAACCATAGTGTGTCGCAGGCAGCAGGAAACATTAATGCTGCTTTTGGAGAAGGAAGTGCTAAACGAACTGACTATTCGTAGGTGGTATGAAAAATGTCTGTATTCACAATTGCGATCACTTGTTAAGTAACCGAAAATCGGACATTTCATACCCAACGACCTAATAGGATCCATTGAACCCAGAATGGTAGTTAAAGGGTTAACCTATATTTGGTACTTTGCATCCTCTAGGAAGTCTCATTTCTGTGCCTATCCCAGTTCAATCTCCAGCCTTATGCAATATGATTCTCCACAACCACCATTTTCTCAATGGTGACATTTTATCTTGTGACTGTCTGCTGATGTGCCCCAAAACGTATGGCATCCAATGCATGGAGACAACACACAAGCAAGAGAAAATCATGCACCTAAAAGATTAAGTTCTAGGAGGATATGAGTGAGGGGTTGAGAGGTGGTTCATTTATGGATTTATTTTCTGACACTCCTATCTACTTTTCCTCTATTCTTCTGAATATGTCATGACTCCAAGAACTAATTAAAAAGACAAGTTGGCTCGGCTCTGATTGCCATTTTTTGCTCTTCATTAGTGTTACGTAAGCGTTGTCATGATTCACTATGCTACCATCCACATCCTTAGGTGCTTTTCCGCATCATCAGGCCGAAGAAGGTGTTTTACATGGCTGTTGATGGGGTTGCCCCAAGGGCGAAGATGAATCAGCAAAGGGGAAGACGGTAAATCATATCCTGTGGGCATCTTATTAAAAGAAAGATGAATGCAGTAATTTAGATGCCTCCTCCAGGTTCCGGTCAGCAAGAGCTGCTGAAGCAGTAGAAAAGGAGGCACTGAGTAGAGGAGAAACTTTACCCAAGGAAGAACGATTTGATTCTAATTGCATCACTCCTGGGACACTTTTTATGGCTCGGCTCCATGAACAGCTAAAATACTTTGTTGTATCCAAGATCACATATGATCCAACATGGCAAGGTGTTGACATCTACCTATCTGGACATGAGGCTAGTCTCATCCCCTGTTCAGCTTTCAATTAATATGAAAAAAAATAGGGCAAACAGTGTAGTCTTCTCTTTTTCTATAGACGCCTGGTGAAGGAGAGCACAAGATCATGGAATTCATTCGTTACATAAAATCCCAGACAGATTATGATCCAAATACAAGGCACTGTCTGTATGGCTTGGATGCTGATCTTATGATGCTTGGCTTGTGCACACATGAGCCACACTTTTCCCTACTCCGAGAGGAAGTAAACCCCCTTCATTTCTATAACATTCACTTGAGTGTCTCCCAATGAAGGTATCACTGGGATGTCTTTTTCATTTTTAGAAATAAGAAATCAGGGTGCAAAATTGAACATCATAGTCTGATTTTGCTCACTGTTTATGAGTTGCAGAGAAAAAATGTGCTTCTGTTGATGTTTATAACTGAAAATCAGTGAAAGCAGCAGCTGTGTATGTTCCAACAGGCATGCATCAACATTTCATCTATTATGTAGAATTTTCTCAGAATTTCCCTTTAGCTGGTTCTGCCACGTAAGCTCTAAGTTCACCAGTACAGGAATGTCCAGTGGTGTAACCAAGGAGGGGGTTCAAGGGGTCTGAACCCCCCAAACTCCTACTAATGATAATATCTCTCTACTTCTCCATCCCCTTCTCCCCTGAGGGTGGGGGGGCAGGGGGGCACAGAAGGATATGGGCTTATGACCTGAGGGTGAGGCTGGAAAGGCACAAAGATAGGAGGTGAAAGGTGAAGGTCATACCGGTCACATGTGGCTACTCCCTTTAGTGAAGTGAACCTGTCAAGGAAGTGTCCTGCACATTTGGCACTACTGAATTTTTCCCTGAAAACTGAAGGACAACAATTCAGATAAGATGTGAATTAGGTTAACAAATTTAACAGATTAACAGGTTAACAAATTTCCAGTTGCCTATCTGTGCAGTGAAATTTAGGCTGAATCCTGAAATTAATTTAAAGGTTTTTTTAAGATATTGAATGTGCTTTTATCATTTAGAGTTTAAATTCCATTTCCACCATTTTTTCTTAAATTTTCTTAATTTCATTTCCTTTGTTTGCATGCTTGCACCATTTCATGTTTTTGTTGAGTGTCTCATCTGATGATTTGATAATGCCTTCTTGCATTTGGAGACATTTGAAAGTCAGGTCATGAGACCTTCAGACCCCCCCCCCCCCAAACTTTTAGGGCTGGTTGTGCCACTGAGGGTGATAAGTAAGTTCTGTCCCTATTTTCATAATTAAATAGTTTTTAAGTGAGCACTACTTTCACCATCTTATATACAGGGTGCACCAATAAAATAGGGATTTTAAGTTGTAATAACTAACCAACAAATTATATTGCAAAGTTTTGTCATACACAGTGAGAGTTCAGGAGTTTATTTTCAGCACTTTGTTTTTCATCTCCTGATGACATGTTCAGTGTAGTCACAGCAGCGATTAAGACATTCATTTATTCACAGTGTGAAGTTCTTGATCGCTCAGAAACACATCTCTGGTGGGATGGATTGCACGGCAATCTCCACAGCTCTCTTGAGGTTATGCAAGGGTTTTGGCTTGTCTTTGTACACATTGTTCTTTGCATAGTCCCATAGGAAAAAGTTGAGTGGGTTGAGGTCAGGAGAAAGTTACCCACACAATCTCTGCACACCTTGAGATGACTCACTCACCAAGCATTTCTCCTAACAATTTCATTGTCTCATTCACTTTGTGGGGCATCATGCTGTCTTGCTGAAACCATTGAGCATTGAAATGGAGTTCCCAATACTGTTGCAATCTGGCACAAATTCAACGTTATCTCAAGGTGTGCAGAGATTGTTTGGGACCATGCAAAGAACAATGTGTACAGAGACAAGCCAAAAACCTTGCCTGACCTCAAGAGGGCCATGGAGATTGTCATGCAATCCATCCTACCCGAGACATGTTTCAAGTGATCAAGAACTTTGCACTGCGAGTAAATGAATGTCTTAATTGCTGCAGTGACCACATTGAACATGTCATCAGTCATCAGGAGGTAAAAAAAACATTGTCATATATGGAATTTTCATGTGGGAGCAAACATTCAGGAATTTATTTTCAGCACAGAGTTTTTTTGGTTCTATATGGCCATTTATAATGAAATGACGAAAACCAAAATGCAGACAGTCTAACATAATGAATGTGCAGAATAGCAAAGGATAAAAATGTTGAACTGCCTAAATGTCGAATCCCTCAGTTAACTGAATGATGAATTCACCAATGGTAACACTATCTCAAAAGAAAATGCCAAAAACCCAGACGGATAGATGAATGTGAAGTCAAGACCATCAAACAGGAAGATTCGTATCAGACTGAGATTCTATCATGCACCGATTGCGAGACCTGTTTTCTCGTCTCTTTTCTTGCATGGTGTGACAGTAGTTTTGCGATTGGAATGGAGTTTTCTTGACTTCGCAGAAGGGAGATGGCCTGTTGGTCGTTCACAAATACATGTTTCAGAAAGACAAAACGGTGGGAACAGTTACAAATAGGAAGCGTGGAGAAGTTGATTAGCATGAGAATCAGTGATGGAAAGAACCATGAAGAACCCCTGATCCAATGCTCTTTGCCTTGGAAGGGAAGTTGTGTGTGAGACATATGGAACATGTGACCTAACATCCTATTTAAGGGCCATTGCCCACAGTGTGTGACTCTAATTTGCATAATGGCAAGTAGTTTCCTTGATATTCCCCTACTTGCACCTGTTTTTTAACTCCTAGTTCATGACATGTGATTACTATTTTATTGGAAAGTAGATTACTATGTACCATTTAGGACAGGGAAATAAAGGGTACCATTGGAGCTTTTTAACATTTGACATTTTGTCTTTCTTCATTTTAGCTCTTAGGCATTTTGTGCACTCTAAATATATGGAATGAGGCAAATTGGAATTTGGCATTTCATCATACACCGGGCCATATATGATCATATATTTGCCATTTTCCACTACATATATATTCATGTATTATCAGTCATATGGCATATAATGTATATTATCTGCTATACAATATCAAGAGTTTTGGGTCAATGGCACCATGTCTGACTTATGGTGAATCTCCATAGATAAGTCTTACAGTTGTTAGTATTGATGAACATAGCACGAGGTCAATGGTGTATTTTTGCTGAAGAGCTAGGGGGGCAGGGCAGAGTGGGGGTTGTCAAACCCCTCCTGAGTGATATTAGAGGAGTAAAATATTACCTCCAAGGAGGCACCAAGCCCTGTCCCAGGGGTTTTTGGGGAGGGTCTACTGCAACCTCTGCCCACCATAAAATACACCACCACCACACGAGGTTGTTATATGATGACCATTGACCTTCAGATGCCTCTGCAAATAATTTGTAATTCATCTGATACATTTTACATGAAATATTAGTGATGTGTAGCCTTTTAAGTAACTTCCCAAATTTATTTTGAACCCCTACCCTCCCTAGGTAGCAAAAGTGTATCAAGGATGAAAAAAGTTGGGGGGGGCATGGGAACTCTAGGGCAGCAGTGCATGAACTTCTCAGGTCATGCCCCCTTTTTCATCCATCTATTTAGTTGTGCCCCCTTATCTCCCTTCATTGGTTCCATTTCATTAGAAACTGACTGCAATTTTGGGTAAGTTGACATGAGAAAGGAAACAAGAATATATGGTTTCAGTACAATAGCATTACATTTATTTTTAAATCATAGTTATTGAGAATAATGCAATATTACGAAATGCCTCATCCTTTTCCCACCCAGACAGACTGTATTATACTGTACTTGTCTCAATCCAATGGGACATCTTCCCTTCAAAAATGTTTTTGATACATCACAATGGTAAAAAAAAAAACTATTGATACCTCAAACCATCAATATTGGTATTAATGTATTGACATATTGTGATTGCCATACTTTATAGTTATTGGTGAAAGCATACTTCAGCAACTGCACACTTGCTCCTAAATGTTTTTTGTCGCTTCATAATAGTTTAAAACTTTAATAATTTAATTAGCAATTCACCCACAATGTTGTGAGTAGGAATCTGGTATATTGTATTAAATTGGGTTATTAAATCCTCACGTAACACAAAGTGTGGCACTTCTTATTTTAAATAGTTTATTTGAATATTTGATAGATTTTTCTTTGGAATTTTCAGGATTTTTAGTGCTTTTCCTATTTTTTCCCCTTTTATTTGATTTTGAACTCCAGAACTCCTAATTCTGAGGAAAAAGTTAAAGTGCAGGCCTAAGTTTATGCCCTACCTAGGGCCATCCCCCCCTGGTTGCTGTGGTAACTGTGTATGAGCAGTGGTATCACTGCTCTAGGACAATTACCACATGCATTTCATGTGTCTTTTCCTATTTATTAATGCTTCTTTTTTGTGTGTAAAGTGGGGGACATGTGCTCTCCCTGGCCCCCAATGCCATGCCACTGCTGGGCAGTGAAAAATAGAGAAAGTAGTACTACCAGAGGACATGCTTGATGCCAAATATTACCTTACTAGCTTTGGCATTCTTGTCCTAACCATAGTGAATGGACAACTCCTTCAATTAATCTTCAATTGGATATTCCTTCTTTGGGTTATTTCTCACAAGAAATAGTTTTTCTTCCTATCTATTTTGTGAGTTATCTCTTTAAAATTAAGAAGACCCTGCTACATGAGTAAGTCATGTTTTGTCATTAAATAGCATCACTGATGAAAATTTTTGTTGAAATGAAAATGTATAATATGGAAACTTTCATCTTCAGTAACAAGTGTGTATATGTTAAACACCATGAAACATGAGTTCTTGGAGCAATTGAGTATCATCTAAGAAGAAATAAAAATGAGTTAATTGCAAGAAAAATAAGTCAAGTATGGTGAGAGGCATTTGAATGATTATGCAGTATTTGATTGATGATGGACCCTCTTAGTATGTGGGTATGCTTCAGTCATACCCACATATTAAGCAAAATATTTCCTATTCAGCAATATTACTCAGCAAAATATTTCTTGTGTTGCATTTAAATACAAACATTCTGTATGGACAATATGTGATATAGCATATATGGGGCAGTATATTTTCATATAGGAATTGAACTATATGTTCAAATATGCCACATATATGTTGCACTGGCTAAATATCATGTGGCCCAAAGAAAATGTTATGAACTGAATTCTGTCTGCCTGCAGACAGAATACCATATGAGCTATCAATGGGAAACTTGCAGGGTTTTACATCCAATGTGTGTTGGTAATGTAGCAAAAAATTTCAGTGAATTTATTTGTTAAATTCCAGAGTAACAGTTTTTCTCCCACACAATATCCAAAAGGCGAGTGTGTAAAGATGTGTGACTGACCTCAATGATGAGATGTTTGATTGTGTCCTCCATTCTGGTCCACGACTGCTTGCAGATGCTGTTTCCATTGGCTGATTGACTTTCTTATCGCATTGTCATAGACAAGAGGTGACAATTCCTCAATTCAAGCCTTCTGTTCAACAAGTAATTTAAAAGGGGGGTGTTGCATTCAGCATAAAGTGGCTCCTTCAATTGTCCCATGTGCTGCAGTCAAGTGGGTTTAAGTCTGGTGAATAGACCCTCATAATGAATACTGGAGAATTGTCTGGAGAACCCACATAATGAGTAACAGCCTCAAGTTGACCTCATGATATCAGTGACATCTCAAGCCCATTTATTGAATCCAAAAGCCCTCACCAATATGCCTATGACAATTTTGGTGTGTGAACCCTTTTGAAGTTACTTTTGAAACAACCCTTTTATATTATTTGACTGTTGAGCATCCTTGCACTCATTTGCTGCCTTGGTTTTCTCTCATGTCACTGACTTTGCCGCAATAACCAAGTGCAGTTGTGGCTTAGCCTAAGCAGGGCTACTTCCAAGCTAACATCTTGATGCTGGGCACCCATGAATACTCACTGAAGCTTGTTAGTCTGACTGCCAAGTGCTTTGCTGAGACCAGGAGCACAGATAAGCAATCATTGGAGTGGCCATCCCCTCACACTGAACACCAGCTCTGAAAAAGGTGAAGAACCACATAAAGTAGAAACAAAAGTGGTCAATGAAGATGTTGGCAGCTGAGATGAAGATCCATCATGAGTCAATGTAGCTGCTGATTATGAAGGACCTTATCATGCCTCCCTACAAAGAGTACAGAGCTCTTGGACTGACAGCAGCTACCTAATGGAGATACCATCTGAGCAGGTAATAATTTCTCAGTGGCATAAACTGGCTGGATTAATGGTTTGGGCTGTGGTTCCAGAAAATGGCCACACAGACCTGATTTTTGTGCCAGGAGCCAAAGTGAATGGACACTGGTACTGGGACCTGGTTTTGTAACCAGTGGCAAAGCAATGTAGTTGAAAAATCTTCAACAACCAACAGTTATGCTTCCAAAAGACTTTTCCCCAGCCCTTTTCATCAAAGTGACTCAGCATTGGCTGGAGCAGAACTTGCTGCACTTCATCAAATTGTAGAATTGCCCTCTTCCCCCCATCATCTCCAGACCTCAATCCCTTGGGCCACTATGAGTGGTCACATTTAGAGGTCAAGATCTGTGCTCACTCACACACCAGTGTTGAGTTGTTGAAGCAATCCCTTGTTTGACCATGCAAAGAGATTCCTCTTGAGACTAGGCATGCTGGAGTCCTCAACTGATGTTGTTGCATTGTGTGGAAAGCATGTGGTGAACATTTTGAATAACTTTGATTATGAGTTACCTAACATTGTTCAGTATTTTGGAAACATTTTTGACCTTTGGTATTGGTATAGAGAAAAAAAGAAAAAATTGAAGGGAGGGAACTTATTTGTCACCCTATAAAATATTTCTTCTTGTTCCATAAGCTTAAGAGTGTGCTGGAAAGAAGGAGATTTCGGGACATTTAGAACAGAATTACAATTGTGATGCGAGCACTGTTGGTGATTCCAAAAGCCTAGTATCAGCCATGCTTTCAGCAGCTAAAGAAACATTGGACAAGTTTTGCAGATGCTGAAGAGGACCACTTCAATGAAGATAACTATCAGTAGCCTGAAAGAGTTGCCACAGCATCATAAAAATTTCAGTCTTGAAACTTATTGATCAGACCATGTATACCCTGGAACATACATGGCTGTAGGAATGACTAAGTTCCTGATGTGAAAATTCAACGACAATACTTTTTTTTCTGCATCCTGCATTGCAAGTAGAAATTTTCAATATCGAAATCCATGATAATGGAATTCCATATTTTCAAAACTGTGTGAGCTATTCTGATCCCTTGAACCCTTCAGAGGAAGAGTCTATCCCCTCCCATTGTTTCCCTCACGTCATTTTGCGTGTTTCATTCTATCCTTATTTTTCCAACTAACATTCAGTGATTTAGCTCTGACTGAGTCTTGTGTAAATATTCTTGTAGATCCTGTTTGGGAAGCAGGCAAAGAACAAAGGGAGGACAGCACTTCCCGAGGAAGCAACGTTCCATTTGCTGCACCTGTCCCTCTTCAGGGAGTACCTGGAGCATGAATTCTCAGCTTTGAAAACCAAACTTCCATTTCCTTTTGATCTTGAGAAGGTCATTGATGATTGGGTGAGTTTCATTTTCTATTTCTTGGAAAAAATAAGAACTCCTTCCAATTCAATGCCTGAGTGCATCATCTACAGGGTTTATGGAAATTCACTGACTATTTTACTTTTTAAGTATATAAAAAAATCATGAACTATGGAAGATATCAGGATTTCTTCATATAAGAACTCAAAGGTAACTCTTAGGGTTACATTTCACCACAAAATTATGACAGTCCTTTACTTAACAATATTCAATATGGTGCCTCTCTTTGTCTATGCATTTTTACATCTTTAGCTTGAATTTATCATGCCCTGCCTGGGGCCTCTTCCCTGGAATGACAATACCTTCCTTGTGAATGATAACCTCAAATTCTTTCCATGTTTTTTTCACTCACCATACACTGTTGGCTTTGAATAATCCCATCAAGAGAAATCACATGAGGTGAAGAAAGAGCTACATGCTGACCAGCCAATGTCTCTGCACCCACTCTTCCACTGCCTGGGAAACTCTTTCTCTGTACAGGTGTGATTTTTCTTTTTAGGTAATGCTGACATTATTTGATAAAGAATCGCTTAGAGTGAGGTAAATTTTAGTTGAAAAGTTTCCAGGTTCAGCATTGGTAAGGAAAAAATGTTTTTTGAAGAAGAGTTTCCCAGACAGTGGAAAGGTAGATGTAGAGCCATTGACAGGCCAGCATTTAACTCTTGCTTCACATCATGTGATGTCTTTTGATGCGTTTATTCGAAGCCAATAGTGTACGGTGTATGAACAAAAACACGGCAAGAATCATCTGAAGTTATCATCCACTAGGACGGTAGTCATTCCAAATCAGAGACTCCAGGTAGGACACGATAAATTCGAGCTGAATCTGAAAAAATGCATCAGCAAAGAAAGGGGCCATAGTGCATTGAATATTGTTAAATGCAGGACTGTCATAATTTTGTGATGAAATGCAACCTTAGAAGTTGCCTTTGAATTCTTATATGAAGCAATTCTGAAATCCATAGTTCATGATTTTTTTAAATATATTTAAAAAGTAAAATAGTCAGTGACTTTCCATACACCCTGTATAGTATATATCCTTATTTGGCTGTGACGTTCAAGCCATCCACCCATGCATGTCAAAATCCATGAAAGTATATTTTGGGAATTTTTGATATCACAATTTCAGCAGAAAAATATTCCTTTCATACATCTATACTATGATACAGTAACAGTCATGTTTGTCAATATTTACTTTGCCCTGAGGAATGAGGTGATTACTAGTTTTCCCTCATTGAATCAGGCCTGTCAAGGTGGGGGATTTCCTTTGGCATCTTTGAGACATTGAATATGGAATGGGATGTGCCAATTGCAGGATGAGGCCAAAGAGTGATCCTGATCTTAGATTCATGGGCTACATGCCATAGTATCCTGCCTGTGGAAAGCCTAGGTCATAGTCAGAGGGAAGCTGAATCTTGTATGAGAAATATTGATATTTCTGAGTAAATTATAAGGGAGAGGACAGTTTAAGCATAATTTATATGGATCCCTCTGTGTTTTTTTTTTGTTGAAATGGGGTGCATTAGCACTGATGGCATGAAAACTTATGACTAATGGCCATTGGCCCCATCAATGCTGTACTGATTACTGTATGAATTATTACCAGTGCATTGATATATCCCTCACATCAAGACTGTCAGAATGCATCATGTAGCCTTGTATACTTCTAAAAATGTTATCAGGTTTTCCAAGGGCTACTGGTGCAGAAAAAAAATTACTATGACGTGATTATTTATGATGGTTTGGTCAGTCTTGTGAATAATTATTGCATGTAAATATTTTAAATGGAAGTTTGCATAGAGATGTCCTTTTGCCAGGGATCTGGGTATGCAAGACATTGATTGGTGATAACTCAATTGTACTTTTGCTCTGCTTTTAATGGGCTTTGTTCAATGGGTAGTTTGAAGTTCTGCAGGTTTTTGTCCCTTTTCTTTGCCATATGCTTGTAACCTCCTTAGCATTTACCCTGACAGTCTTGGGTTGGAGGGTCCTGTCAATAAGACTATACAGTGTCCCAAAAATATATGAACATTTTTAAAACTAATATATCTACAATAAAAAAATGCCTCAAGTTAAATGATTAAACCAAAAATAGAAAGAACAACTGAAACATTTCCTTTAGACCTGCTATTACAAATACACGAAGGCACCATTTGTGACTGAAGATGTCCAATGATGTTCAAGCTCTTGCCACACCTTAAGCAGAGTGTCTGGCATAAGTGTCTGGATAGTTATGACAATTTTATTCTTCAGTTCTTGGAGAAAGTCTACTTTTCTTGAGTAAGCTATGTCCTTGATAGCCCCACAAGTAGGTTAAGCATTTATTATTCTTTTAAAAATCAATTTCCTCGTGAGTATAGTGGGAAAGACTTTGATACCTGTGTTGCATTTGTCAGCACCAAATTGGCATATAAGGTCATATGATTCTTGCAGATCTTGATGTGTTTCCTTGTTGGTAATGACTTCCTTCCACACCTTCCCAACATGCACATCAAGAATGAAGCATTGGCCTCATTGTACAAGGTATATATGGATGTCCTTCCTACTCTTACAGGCAAGTACATTATGGTATTATTATTTATGTTAAGTGTACATTATGTGTGATTAGTTTGTTTTTTCAATATGCATGCACTATGACTGCAGATACCATCCATGCATAAACCTATCTAAACATCAGGCATCTCATGGACTACTGTGAATCTGGCTGCTGGAATTGGGACTTTTACTAATGTAATTTTTGAAGAACATAACATTTTTGCCTTATTTCAGTGATGATGCAACTTAAATTATATATTAATTGCTAGATGTGAGCAACAGGGAGTAGGAAGGACAGAAATTTCCTCCGACAAAAATTTCAGGCCTTATTGAGAAAACTGTGTACCGTGGTATTATGCAGGAAGGGGCCTAAAACCAGCAGAGTGATGAATGTGATAAAGGGTAAAAAAAAAAAGTTATTTAACCCTTTCGCACTCAGCCTATTTTCCAAGTACCTGGCCTAAAACACTCAGGCGAATTTGGCTCGATTTACAAGTCTCACTTCAAAAATTCACCAAAAATACTATTTTGGTCAAAGACATATGAAAAAAATCACACTTATTCACCATAAACAGCAGATTTAAACAAAAATAGCCTACAAGTGCTAACACTATAAATAATTTGAAAAGAAAAAAAAAACTGAAAGAATTAAATATAGAAATGTAAAATTTGCATTATTTAGGCAAAAAATAAAATTGTCTTTTTGGTCTTCTTTTCTTGTCACCAAGCCTGTAAGAAAGAGAATATTTTTTCTGTAAATTTTGATACAAGTTTTATACCAAAGCTCTCTGGTCTGGAACTACATCACATTATGTAAAACTGTGCATATGTACCTTTTGCAGTTAGCACCTGTGTTTAGGGAAGCATTTTGAGCCATTTATGTAAGTAAACAACAAAAACAACCTTTGAGCCATTTATGTAACTAAAAGAGCATGATTTAGACAGAACTGATAGATCAGCTGCCGGAGTGTTCTGGTCATTACCTGACGCGACGATGGATTGGTGCGCTGAGCGTATAAGGGTTAATAAATAAATAAAAACTTTAAAGGAGTAAAAACTTTATTGCTCCTTCTCACTCTGTGCTGAAGTGACTTCCATCATCTCAGTGTAGGCATTAAACCCATTGACTGTTATAACACAGGGGGGATGGCTGATACATTTTCGCATAAAAATTGGCCCTGCTTGTCTAAAAAGAACAGTTTATGTAAGAAAATGTCATATCATGATAATTATTGAAGATAGCAGTTACATGCATGAATAGCTGTGAAATAACCTAGAAACAGTGAATGTTCTGAGCCCGAGAACATACCCATGCTACCACTACACAAGCCCGAGTATGTACTCGGACAAACAGCCAAAGGGGTAACTGATGGGAACTTGACCAGAGGTGATATGTTAATCTGACAATGAACAGGTTGCTTGTTTTTTGTTCAAGGTGAGAGAATGTATATGCCTCCAAGAACAGCAGACATGTCTTAGTCTCTTTTTTTCTCATTGACCCTCTTTGGCCCTGCTTCTCTAATTGCTTGTGGTTCCATGCAGAAATTGTAAGACGATTTATCATAAAAGTTTAAAATTACACACAATGTTTAATGTCTGAATGTAGGAATAAAATGGGTGAGTGGATGGATAACCATAATATAAATATGGGAAATGGGAAGTGCTTTCCTCTCCTATCATTACCTCATATACATTAGGCACAAAGAGGATCCTACATCAAGTCATTTTTTACATTTTTTACTCATCTTGCAGGCTCAGTTGTGTCCCATTGTCAGAATCATGCACCCACAAAAACAATACCACCCGCTATATGTGGCATGTTCGTATTTAAACACACCATAGAGCATATTTTGCCAACTGTAGGTGGAGTTTGGCAGACACTTTAAGGCCTACCAGGTTGCATATATGTAAGGAAGCACACCAGGTATAGGTTTCATCCTTCTAGATATGCAACCTGGTGAGCTGTAAGGCATGCTCAGAACTCTACAAACTGGCTGCAGAAATTTTCCTATGTTGCGTTTAAATACAAACACCCTGTATAGTGATTGTCCTCAATTAGAATCAATATTCTATCTTAGGAAATTAGACAAATTATATTTCTCACCACCTCCAGAGGGAGTGAGGTTGAGACATTGAAATGAATTCTCTTTGCCTAACCTATTGGATGAGAAAGGAAGGATATCAGATATCACTGGTATACTTTGACCTTTTTGCCCACATACATTGGAAAGAAAATTGACTAACATTGCCTGACAGGGGATACTTTTCCTTCTTTGAGGACTATTCAGAACTGGTTTCAACAAATACTGCTCTGGGATATGAAGTTTTTCTGATGACCCTAGCCTAAGTTGGCCCTCTGTGGTAACTGCTAAAAAAAAAAACATTGAAGCTGCTTGAACCCTCTTGAAGGAAGACGTACCTGTCACTTTCAGCCAAATTCAGCATACTTTGAAGGTCTCATCAGGAACAGCTAATACCATCTTGCATGCACATCTGACAGTGAAAAAAATCTAAGTTCATTTGGTACCATGTGAACTGACAAATGACTCAAATAGAGTCATGTGAGTTTGTGCTCAAACAATTCAATGAAGGAAGGGTGTACAGCAGTGGTTCTCAAACTTCATTTCACTCCCATTGAACCTTCATGAGTCTAGGCAAGCACTTTTGGTTTTGCATGCTGCAAAACAAAATTATCTTACTAATCAAGGTGTTGTGTGGCCAGGTTTAGTGAGACAGCTGCTGCTGAATTTTGTTTGACAATTTTTTTCAATCCTATGTTGTTACTTGGTCGTTTTCCGAGCGACACGTGTAGTGCTCATATTATCTCTTGTGTGATTGCATACATTTCTGATTTAATAGAGTTAATGGAAGAAAATAGCTATTCACGAAAGTAAGTGGAACTGAAGAATGTGAGCACTGCAGCAGTGAGCTTCTTCAATGAACTGAAGTAGGCAGGCAGGATCTTTGCAAGATCTTGAATTCATTTCTTGCCAAGTCTTGATGAGATGTCCTCTGCCATTAACACCCTGTCAAGTGTCAATTAACTTTTGAATATTGATTTTTTTGTAAGGTTTTTTCTCTGCTCAGTTTACCTGTCCAACCATGTCCTCCCTTAGCACCCCAAAGGGAAGGATCTTGACAAGATCTAGCTTCTTCTTGCCAAAATTTTTTCTTGCCAAGCCAAATCCTATTTTATATGGATGTCAGTAGGCATATCCACCCATTATGATGTCCCTTGCTGAGATAGAGCATTCTGATAATTGTAAGATATGCCAATTTCTTTTGAAGATGGATTTTTTTTAAGATGGGTGGGGAAGCATAGTTACGAGGGTGGTTCAATACTTACCTGCACTTTCTATTCTATAAAATAAATAAGATAGAAAAAAGTCTGAAAGCCTAATATGGCAGATAGCCCCAATCTTCAAGGTGATTTATGCCATGACCGGCAACCCTTGCGCATGCACAATTGAGTGTGAAGAACATGGCATCTGATGGTATATCCTCCAGGGTTAAACATTGTTGTAGTTTCACGGGAAAAAGAAAGTGAAGGAGGCTGATAATTTTTGAAGATGACAAGCACAGTTCAGGGAAGACTGTCTAGAGAGGAGAAGTGTATCTGGTCGTGCAAGAAATTTCAAGACGGCCAAGAATCCTTGACAGTTCCTTGAGCGTGGCCATCTGTCCGAGACTGTTGTGAATCCTGAGAATATCCGGCAAATAGAAAAATTGATACTGGAAAATTATCACGTCATCGAGCATGATATTGCAGCAGAACTAAATATCAACATTGGGAGAGTCTAAAACATTATCCACACTCACTTTAAGTTCAACGAGGTGACTACGAGATAGGTGCCAAGAGAACTGACATTCGAACAGAAGGCTAATTGATTGAGCGCTGCATTGGACCATTTCAACTGCTATGACAAGGAGAAAGACAACATCCTCAACCGCATTTTGATGAGTGATGAAATGTGGATTCATCATTTAACGTCAGTATGAAAACGCTGAAGCATGCAAAGGCGACATCCCAGATCACCTTGGCCGAAGAAATTCAGGGCAATGATGAAGTGGTGAAATGGCTGGGCACTCGACCACAAGCATTCTGATGTCTCTGGCGTTCAAGTGTTGCCAAAGCAATTAGACAAGTACATCTGTGTAGGAGGGGAATACCTCGAGAAGTATGCGTAGTTTGATAGAAATCAGATGTACCATAGATTTTCTGGAATGAAAAGTGCAGGTAAGTATTAACCACCCTCGTACATTCTGCCTGGCCGCTTGAAGCTACTTGTTAACAGTATGAAACATTATAACAGAATGGAACTTTACAAATTCCAACTTTAAAACGCTCTGGAGCAGAACTTTATTCCAGCGATTACGTTATACTGGAACGGAACATTTTCCCTACAGTTCTGACACCCTGCTCTGGACCCAATCAGGTGCTGTCAGTTCACCTTATTTATAGACCTCCAAAACTTAACACAATTTAAACTTGATCAAAACTTGTAGCATTGCAATGAGTGAATGGGTGGAGATGGAAATGTAGAGTCATTGCTTCTTTTCTTTCCTTTCACCTTTGAATAGAAGGGTTGATTGATGAGAAGTGTGACTGTTTGCAAGTGTCTCCCAAAGTTGGGGGTGCTGTGAATGTGAGACATTGTCTTATATATACAGGGTGTCTTAAAAAATGTATGCACACTTGAATCAAGAGTATAGATTAAATAATTCAGAGAGGGATGATGTTTACTGTGACGTACAGTACCTAACAGATGGCAATGTGTAATGGAATGATCGCGTGTCATCCGGCAATTTTTTCCCACGAGACAATGTGTCACGCCAGATGACACAAGCTCACTTGACCTTAGAGCAATGTAAGTTGATTTTGAAGTGATTCTGGAAATCTGAGAACACATGTGAAGTGCAAAGAAGGTGGAGAAATGAACTTGCAATTATGCCACCATGATGCACTAGAACTTTCAAGGATTCATGATAAGCTTGATGCTGATGGTACAG